CGCGCGCCCCTCCGCTGCCCGCGCCTGTCCCCAGGTACCCCTCACCTGTGAGTCATCCTCCCTCCGGCCCCTCGGCTCTGTCGTCCTCCCAGCCCTGTTTTCCACGAGTTGCATTAATCATCGTCATCCTCGCTCCCATCTTCACCACAGCGTTAATATTATTTGAACACTCACAGTGTTCTGAACAGCAGGGTGGAACACCCTCTGGATGCGTGTCGTTTCCTTTCTGCCACCATGTCGTTCTCATTTAATAGTCAAGTGTTCACCGCCACGATAATGAGATTTTCTAGATTAGTGTTGACACACGCGCGTGAGCACACACACACGCGCGCGCGCACACACGCACCACACCCCTCCAGCAGCCCGGATGGGAGGGCGCGCTGTATTCTTCAGGGCAGCGTCTGTCTTGACCGCTTTCCCCAGGACGGCTCCGCAGTGCGTCCTTTTTGCCCCTCCAGTGCCTCCCACAACACAGTGACTCTTTAATTTGTCACTTGGGGCTCTGGGGAGTCTTAGCACCCACATAACTGTTGTCCAGAATGGATTATCCACTCTAATCCCGCTGATGATACCCTCCCTCGCCGTCTGTTCTCTTCTTGGCGTCTGTAGGTACTTCTCCAAGACGCTGATCCCAGATAAGAAAACCACTGCCAAATCCTATTGTATTTAACAAGCTTCTCCTCAGTGCCTGGCCCAATTATGGGCATTAAAGACGAGCTTCTCTTGCTGATAAAGGCGAAAATTAATAGACAGTCCTTTCAGAATAGGTAACATTATCAGTTCTGAAACCTGGAGACTGGATTTTGTTAATATGTTTATAAAAGAATCAATATACAGAAGGGTTCAAATTGAACAGTTTCCTGGTGAGGATCTCTTAGGAATGGCGATAGAATTCTATCCTGGGGAATTCTTTCTGCAGTTACAGGAGAGATGTGGTACTATTTTCTTCCTCCAAGCCTAACTTTGTTAATGGGGAAGATGACAACGTTAATTTATGAATTCTAAGATCTCTTATGTTCAAGGAACTTAAGAATTTAGTTGATTTTCCTTTTAATAGAGGAGTTGCTTTTATGTGGACATATCTATCTGAATACTTTCAGTAATGGAAGGCTCACTGCCTCTGAAGACTTTTCCTATGTCAAATTCCTTCTTCGAGCTGAAACTATTTCACCTATTCAAATCATCTTTGATGTTTTCCAGAGTAAACCTTCCAGTTTATCTACACAGGAACTGTGTGGCATCCTTTCAAAGACTGGTCATTCTGCTTCTCTTAAGTTGAACACATTCAACTTTTTTCTCCACCCTTACCAAAAATATGTATAACTGAGATGCTTAGTAAGCGCTCAGTGGCTTTATACCCATTATCTTTATTTATACAATTTAGTACTGATCCAACTTTTGGTACCTGTGTCACTTATGACAGTGTCAATTGGATAAATATATAGTCCACTGAAATTTTTGATTATTTTTATACATGCAGCTGTCCAGCCAGAGTTCTTTCTATAGTAAGCAATTGGTGAAAACCCTGATCAGGATAAAAATTTGTACTTGCTTCCTGTAGTACAACATATATATGAATATTTGTACCATGTATATATATATATATATGTATGTATGTATGTATATGAATATATATATAGGCAAAAAGAACAAAAGGACAGTTGGGATTTTCTTTCTTTTCTTTTTCGTTTTTTTTCCTGTACTGAGGATCGAACTCTGGACCTTGCGCTTGTGAGGGAGGTGTTAAAGAGTTGGAATCCTGGCTCTACCAAAGATTTTTATGATCTTGACCTAATCATTTAACCTTTCTACTCTGTTTCATCATCTGTAAGATGGGGGCGAACCTATTTATCTCAAAATGAAAGAGAAATATTAAATCAAAAGACATATTTGAAACTTTTAGCTAAAAGATTTTACAGTGGGTTTTTTTTTTTTTCTTATTTCTAGCTCTCTCCAAGGGATGTGTCAGGCCATGTCTTAATTATTAATGCACAGAAGGCAGTAGAAATGTAGAAGATATATTTGTTCTGCCAGATGCCTGTCTCTCTGTTAGTCATATTGGAAATGGAAACACACAACAGACAAAGGCCTGGTCCTCAAGAAGTTTACAATCAAATTGGTTCTCACGAAATTCTTCTAAAATACAAATAAAGGAGCTGTAAACCCTCAGTGGACATTACAGATAGCTGAGTAAAGTTCTTGAAGGCAAGTGTCTAATGAACAATTCACAGTGATGCTTTAATTGCTTTGGCTGCCATAATAAAAATATCACAGGCTGGGTGAATTATTTAAGAGAAAATAATTTTTTGAGAGTCCTAGAGGCTAGAAATTCAAGACCAAGTTCAGGACTTCAACAAATGAATTTTGAGGGAAATCAAATTCAGTACATACCAATTGGTTTTCCTCTATTAGAATCACTTTGGGAAATGGTTATTTATGTGTATTATCTGGAGGACAATAAAAAGAAACCTGTTTCTCAATCATCTTTATGTTTATAGCTACTTCCCTGGGCTACATACATCAGTGAAATCAGTGGGTGGATAAATGCGTAATTGAATTGACTGATAAATTAGTGGGTGTCTTGGTGTAGTTGCCCTTCAGTGTTTTTCCTTCTGCTGAGAATGACATCCATTATGGAGGAGTTCAGAACAAATTTCTAAAACCCAAGAGAAGAATTTTTACTAATCTGCCTCCTCAAAATCAGAACTTGTTTGTACTTAGATAAGCAAGCAAACATCCAAAGTAGGTGTACCAAAAATGTGCACAGTGAGTTCCTAGAGTCACTCTAGAAAAGAAAAAATGTTCAATGGACTTGGAAAAATGTGCACTCTACTACTTTCCTAGAAATTTACAAGGTACATTGCAAATAAAAAAGTTCTGGAAAGCACTCACCGCAGTAAAGGAATGTTTCATATGGCCTAACCCAACTCTTTCCCAGATGCATTGGGCCATACAACTATGTTCTCCCTATCAAGGGAAATGTGCTTCAGACAAACTTTGGGTAAAACTCAAATTACAGGCCTGATGTCACAGGTGTTAACTTGAGGAACATGACATTTCCAATGTGATTCTATTTGCTCAACCAAGGATGTTAGTAGAAAAACAATAGACATGCATAGAACACCCTTGAAGTCAACGTTACCGTTATGTTTAGGATATTAGAAACTATGACAGAAACAAACAGGTAAGTGTTTAGCACTTTTTTCTACTGAGACTCTCAAGTTATCTCTCAAAACAGTTCTAAAAGTGTATATCAGTGTTAACCTCGTTTAATAGCTGAGATCGTACCTATAGAGTAAAAAACCACTGAAAAGATATCAGGTTTAAATCTTACCATTTGATAGTTGAATACTATTCCCCCCAAATTCTATCCACCCAAAAACTTAGATTGTGACCTTATTTAGAAAAAGGTCTTTGAATATGAAATTGGTTTAAATGAGGTCTGTTGTTTTCGTTCCAGCCCGCTCGAGGAACAAAGTTCAAGGGTCCTCGACTGGGAGCAGGTAGACTCCTGAGAGATTTCTGGAACACTTCCACTTTATTCAGGAAATGCACAGGTTTAAATAGGGTAAGGCAGGGGTCGAGCCCGAGTGGTGCTATTGGATCGCTATTGGATAGGGTAAGGCAGGGGTGGAGCCAGGGTGGAGTCCGGATATTTGGCACATTGTTATTGGCCACATGCTGGTTTTTCGATTGCATGCTTTAGGGACTGAGGTGAATGATGTCAAGACTTTAGAGGATTTTGAGAGAAATAGTTTATCTGTCTAAGGTCAGATCTCTACACACCCGAGGGGGTGGATTATTCCAGCCCTAACAGGCCTCGGAGTTTTCTCAGGAGAGATGGGTGCAGCGCTCCTGACTCAGCCAGACATTAACCTGATCCTCAGAGCTCATGTCGGATTAAGGTCAGCCTTAAACCCAAAGACTAGTATCTTACAAAAGGAGAGGACACACAGAAACACAGAAAAGGACATAGGTGAAGACACAGAGAGACCCATGAGGAAGAGAGCCATGTGAGAAAAGAGGCAGAGCGTGTAGGGTGCTACCCTAAGCCACGGAATGCAAGAAGCCATCAGAAACTAGGGAGGATTCAGCCTTTGAGACTTCCAAGAGAGCATCACCCTGCTGACACTGATTTTGTACTTCCACCTTCCAAAATTGTGAATTCTGTTTTTTGTATGATATACAGTTTATGTTACTTTGTTACAATAGGAAATCAAGACAATGGCTATGTCAATTTGGGTGAATTTGCACTCACATCCTTGATCTATAAAATAGAAATAATAGTACCTACCTTCCAGAGTTTTAATGAAGATGAAATAAAATGAGTATGCACATAGAAGGCACTTGATACAGTCATGTACTTTCTGAACATCTGTTTTGTGTTAAGTACTGAGGCCATGGTAGGGGGGAAAATGCATGTAGACTAATGGCCATGGAGAGAAATGGCAAACTGTGGCCAGTCGGTTAGGCAAGTGAAGTCAAATGCCTGCTTTTGCTCTTGTTTTTACTTTTGTAAATAAACTGTGTTAAAACACAGCCACACCCATCCATTCATGTATTGTCCATGGCTGCCCTCACAGGGCGGTGGTAGAGTGCAGTGAATGCACCTGAGACTGTAGGGTGCACAAAGCTCTTCTACCTGCTTCTTTATAGGACAAAGTTAATCGGCCCCTGCTCTAGATGCTTACAACACAGTCGGTAATAGGCACAAATAAACACAAGGACAGTTCCTGTGCGATAATTAGCCTAGACCATCACTTGCCAGCTATAATAGAGAGGAACTGTGGAGGGTCGTCAGAAAGCCCCATGAAGGGGTTCTGTGAGAGGCTATTTGAAGGATGAAGGACTCAGTATAAGAAGAGCTCAGCCCAGGGTACCAGAAGTGCCTCAAGCAGAGCAAAGTGCTTAGGAGAAGGCAGGGACCTGCAGGAGCAGAAAGTAGGCAGGGTGGGTGTGAGGGGACAGAGAGCAGCCATAGCAGGGCCGGCCAGCCATTTTGTGAAAGCTCATTCTACCTGTGGGTGGCAGGAGAAGGGTAGCAGCAAAAAAGAGCAGACACAGGAAGTCTGCTTAGGAGAAATGAGAGTAACTCGGGGTAGAGTGCACAAGTGTGGATGCCGAAAAGTGACCCCATTCTGGAGGTGTTTTCCTAGTAGAATTCAGACACTTGCTGGCAGGTGAGATGTAGGGTGTGGGCTGTGGGAAGAGATCAGTCATGAATCCTGTTCTCTGAGCCCTCAGTCAATGGGTAGAGGCTCCACATCCTGCAATTCACAATTTGTGTCTTGTGAGAGAAACACATGATGTGGTAAGGACCTCAAAAGTCCTTCATCATCATTGTCATCATCAGCATCATCATTAGCAGCAGCATCTAAAATCTGAAAAGAGAAATATATTTGAATTTAATTTTCTGATTGAGTCCTCTG